CCCCAGTCTCCTCTTTCGATTGATGAAAACCGCAGGTCGCTAGCGCTTGCCATTGTTGAGTTATTCAATTGACACCAACCCCTCTTTAATTCTGGCGCGGACATTAGCTCTTTGGATGAACGAAAACTTTAACATTGTCCAATTAGAATACATCATGTATCATTTCTTAAAAATTTCTAAATTTAAGATAATATATTAATCCTATTTATCTTTTTGTTCTTTAGTCGTGCGAATGACGAGAGGAATAGATCATTGATATATTTTTAAAAATATTTATTGCTTGTGATATGATCAACATCGAAGAAAATCTTTTTCAATTCATATTTTAAAAGAGATTCATTTAGAATGATAAATGTTTTTTTTGTTTTTTGTTTGAACAAAAGTAGCTTGTATCTGAAGGTCTATGAAAAATTTCTTTTAATTTTTTTCATTAAAAACTACTAGAAAATATTAGCGCGAATAAATCTAAGAACATTCTTGATCAACTTTTGCTATTGATAGATTGAATTAAAGAATATTATTCAAATGGAAATAAAAACTAATTCAATTATTAATAATGAAAATAATGATGAATATTTCATTCCACTTGAACCTAATCATGCTTTAGCATTGACTATGAATTTTCCACAATTTCCAGAAGCTATTTCATCTAAAACTTCATTTATTCAAACAGGTTTATTTATTATTTTTACATCGATTTAATTATCTAATGTAATTGATATAGATTTTAATTATGATTGTCCGGATTGTCTAGCTGATCTATTTGGACCACTTATGGCTCCTTATGCAGCATTGCAACAACAGAATGATGATTATCGTCTTCGTCTTGAATATATTGCTTATCAACGTTATGTAACAATGAAATTATATTTATTTAATTCGTTTAAAAAAAATTTTAAACAAAAATGGAAACATACATTTCAAGTTTGTATTTTACTTTCATTATGACTATTTAATTATTTGTTTTTTCTTGAATAGCATCCATTTAAATACGATATTAAAGGTGTACGTGACAATTGATTTTAATATCAAATAATGATATCATACTTGATAAATGTATAGTTTTTACCACAAATAGCTACAATAGGAAGATACATATCAATAATGTCAAGTGGATGGATCTTCGTATGATTAGAAGCAAAAAAAAAATTTAAAGATTCTTTAAATTTTATTTGTAGATTATTGGTATTATTCTTCTAGTTTTTGCAACATATTTAATATTTGTTAATGATCAACAACAACAACCTATGATAACATTTATTCGTACATTTAGTAAATTTTATAGAACATTTTTCTTTCAAGGGGTTCGTTTATAGAAAATTTTAAATATTCAAAAAAAAAAAAGACAACTAGAAAAATAAAATATATTATTAATTTCATATAGATTATTGGATATTTAATATTCTATAGTATTCTATTAATTGTATCATCATTATGTTCATTATTAGGTGCATTAGTTTGTTCATATCTATTGACTTTATTTGGTATATTGAGTATTCTTATGACTTTTGCATTAACTATTGTTTTTCCAATTATTTTAAATCTTTCGAAAAATTTATTGATCAATAAATTAGAAAGATATATGCGAATATCTATTCGAGATTATGATAATATACCTGAAAATCCAATAACAATATTTTGGAATGAATTACAAATAAAAGTAAACAATAAATAAAATAAAAAATTGTGATTTTTTTTTAAATCTTTCATTTAGTATTCATGTTGTGGATTAGAGAATCCAATTTTAGAATATAGTCAAAGTTATTATCATATATTAACTGGAGAAGATATACCTTCATCATGTTGTAGAAATGGTAAGTATAAATATTTGAATTCAATAAAAATAATAAGTTTTGAAATAAATTTAAACTTCATCATTCTTATATTTGAAACAAACAAACAAACTTTTGACATTTTCGGTAGATTATTGTATCTACTTAGTAATAAGGTAACTACGAAGTTTGTGATCCATAGCTTTTACTTTAAATGAAAACTTATTGCCTCATCATCATGTAGTATTTTATCAATTTATATCATGTTTTTGAAATAAAAATAAACATATTAGGCATACAATAGTAATGATATAAATTTGAGTTGATTTTTGATTGGAGAGACCATCCTGAGAGTGATAGCTGAATTTTGTAAACATAAACTAAAAAGAATCTATAATAGACTTGCCAAAACTCTATGTTTCAATTTGCTTGTTCAAGAAATGTCTAGTTCTCATGTTTTATAAAATTCAGCTACTTTCATATAATAAAACTAAGCCAACTAAAAAGTCAAAATGTTCAACAAAAAATACTTTATTTTCTAAGAAAAAAAAGACTTTCTGATATGGGTAATCCTCCAGCTAATAAATTGCTTTTTGAGTCTAGATTATATATATTATGTAAACTTAAATGAGCTATGAATGTCCTTAGCTTATTGTTGTAGAAATAATGCACATTGACCAATAGTTTTTTAAGAAATGCTTCGATACTCTTCTGAAAAATTGATTTTTGAACTTGAAACTTTATGTTGAGACAAATCTTAATAAGAATAGTCTTTTATGAATATTTCAGATCTTGTTGATGTTTCTGTTCTAAGATACTGTTATGGAAATAGTATGTCTTTCACACAAGGGGGAACAAGCGGACTTCTGTACTTCCAAAGTACAAAGAAGTACGCGCTTTCTTCCTCGATTTTTTCCCAAAACAGAACAAAAGTGTTCTGTTATTGGGAAATGTCAAAAATTCTGTTCCCGAAAAACAGAACAAAAATGTTCTGTTTTTTGGGAACAGAGTTTTTGATATTTGTCAAGAAGTACAGAAGTCCGCTTGTTTCCCCTTGCTTTTACATCGCTTATATCATAATAGAAGCTATTTTTCAGTGTATTCAAAGTTCATTTGAATATACATAGTCTCGACTTAAAAGCGATGTATCAGTTGGTGAAATTTTCGCGTAAGTACTATATAATCACTTCTAAGCAATAGTAAGCTGTTTCTAACAATGAAAATAATATGTCTATCGGTTGTACAAGATATACACAAAGTTTATTTTTGGCAGAATAATAAATTTGAAAGTGATTGCAGAACTTCTAAGATATCGTTAATATTATTCTAGGAATGCTTTGTACAACTACACCAAACATAGCAAATTCATTTATAGATGTACGAAATATTTCGTTTATTTTGTACAATGTTTTTTTTTTCTATTTCATTTAGAATTCATGTTTACCACAAGCAAAAAATTTTATAGATTTAACAATTGAAACAATATTTATTGGACATATTCTTCTTATTGTTCTTCTTGTATATAATCTTTATTTTTTGAAATTTTTTTTTTCTATAATATTTATTTTGTATTTTTTTAGTTAATTGTTTTAATTAGTATTGGACTTTTTTTCTTGTATATGAAAACAGCTAAACAAGCATTAATTAGATATAATAAATTTATTATTAAATCAATGTTATCAACACTTGAACAATATGAAAAAGAATTTGGTGTTTATGAAAATTCTATGCCAAATAAAATAAATTTTTATAATAAACAACATATACAAGGAATTTTACCAATAACACCAACTGTTATTCGTATTAAAAATCCTCGAATAATGAATTATCTTGGTTTTGATTAATTTTTTTATTTATTATCACAGCAAGTGTAATAACAATGACAAAATACAGATCCGACATTACGAAGTACTAGAACGTACATACGAATTGATGAAATAAAAACCAATAGATCTTGTTTTTTTTTTTTTTCTTTTTGTCTTTCTTGATCAACATAAAAAAAAAAGAAAAAAGTCACAGGGTTTTCTTAATAACTAGGAAATGGCATTCGATCAATGCCTCGTTGTTGATTAGTTAATGATAATGGAAATGAAACACCAAATTTTGCTAAACAATCATATGTTGGAAAACAATAAAGTGTTGTTTGTTGATAATCATAATTTGTTTTAAATAAAATACGTTCAAAATCATTATCAGTATTATATTGAATATTTTCTTCATGTTGATGTTCATGTTCTTCTTCATCATCAGTATTTTCATTTGAATAAAGATTTATTTGTTTTTCTATTGTCTTTTTTAATGGTACTTGAACAGTTTCTAAACAATTCATTTGTTGAAATAATTCAATACAATCATTAATAGCAACTGGTTGAAGTACACATTTATAATGTTCATATAAATATTCAAGATTTGTACCTGGATGATCAATTATAAATAATAGTAATGATTCCATCATACGTTGTAAAACAGCAAAATTTATTGAACCATCAGTTGATTTCCAAGGACGAGGAACAAAAACAATACGCTAGGAAAAACAAAAAAAAAAAGAATAATATTCATTTATCTACAAAACTATTGTGAAATTCATGTAGTACAAATTGTAGTTCTTCTTTTTCTTTTGTTTCTTATGACATAGATTTTTTTAAAAAGTCTTATAAAAATATTAGATATCAGTTAAGATCGTGTCTACATATTGTAAATATCAAGTGTACTCATGCTGCTCAGATTTGATTTAAATATTCACCTGAAGATCAAGTGATTCACAACGATGAGCATTATTTGTTTATTTTAAGGTCCTCCCCCTCACAAACAAACGTTTTTATTTTTTCATGAAAGTCAGCCAAAATTTCAGAGAATATTAGAACTTGGCTTCAGTAGATTACGGTTAAAATATCTCCTCAAATTTGCGAGTTATAATCAATTTATTGATCAAAATTACCATGTACGCGGGCAAGATTTTCACAATTACAATACGAGCTAACATGGCGGAGCGTTTTTTAGTTGTAACCCCCCTCGTCCTCAGAATAAAAGGGCATGCCCTTATACAGTGTCTTGGCACATCGCTACTTTTTGGATGGCCTTCTATTAGGGGTCAATTTTTAATTAAAATCATTTAAAAAATTAATAACTTTAATTCTTGTTTTTTAGGTGTTTTTTGCTGAAAAAACTATCATTTTTTGTAAAAAACTGTACTATTTATGATAGGAAAGGAAGGATTTCGCAAAAAAACATTAGAAAATCGGTTATATTTCCTTAATTATTAATTAATATTTATGAAAATTTGATTAATTTGGGAATATATTAATTAATTAGTACATGGCCTTCTATTAGAGCGTTTGAACTTTTGCTCGGACATGGCCTTCAAATATAGGGTGGCCGTCTATTTGGGGGGGGGGGGGGGGGGTAGAGTGTCCTTGGCTCTAAGCCTTAACAGAGCTCGATTTTTGAAATTCCCTTTGATTGTTTTTTAAAAAACCTTTTTTTTTTTGGAAAAATTTTCGAATTCATGAGCAAAAAATCGCTGATAAAAATGACATAGATAAGTTTTTTTTATTTCGCAAAATATAGAAATTCAAAAATCGAGCTCTGTTACGACATAGCCGTCCTCTATGCAATAAAAAAAAATTGATCACTTCTATATTGAGTTGTTATTGAGTAAGATTTGCTCGCGCAATCGAAAAAATGGATTTTGAGAAAAACGAAAAATAAATTTTTAAAAAACTTAATTTTTTTCAATATAGAGATTTAGAAAAACTTATGCAATATTCTTAAAGTTCATAATCAACTATAGTGCATTCGAGATTAGACATTTTGCTCTATTTAACGAGCTATAAATCACAAATTTGATGAAAATTGACTTTGTCTGAGGAGGGTTAAGATGACATCTAACGAGGAGAGTTTAGTGTTGAAGTTTACTGTTTCTTCTACTATGGTACCATCTTACAAAAAAGAAGATATCTAAAAAAACTTCATCACTAGTACTAAAAAATTCAAATTTCAACTAGAATAATTTATGAATTATGAGTAAATAAATGATAGAAACCTTCTTTTTTTATCAAACTAGAATCATTCTTATTATTATAATTTTCTTACTTCAGCTTGATCCAAAATCAATTGATTATTATTATTAATTATATTTTCATTATTCGATAAATTTAAACATTTTATTTGTCTATTATCTTGTATCATTTCAGTATCCATTGTTGTCATAGATGAAGTTGAATCAACAAAAGCACTTGTTAATAATGTTTCAAGATTATTATTATTATCATGTTGTCGAAAACGTATTGAATAAATAAGCCATGAACGTGCATGTTTTCGATGTACATATATACGTGTTCGACTTCCAGCAGCAATTATAATTCCAGATATTAAATAATCATGTAATTGTTTACAACATTCACTAAATGTCATTGATAATTTAACTTTATTATATAATTGATAAAAATTTAAACCAAATTCATGTGAATTAAGTATTGTATTACATAATAAATTATTTTCATTAAATTCAATTTGTTGTTCTTGATCATAAACAGCAAAATATAATGGAAAACGTTCAATTAATTTATCAATTGTATATAATGATTTTTGTACATAAAAATGTTGATATTGTTCATGAAGAAATTCATTTGAAAGAATAAAATTTATTGAACAACAACTTAATGATGATGTATCAGTTGCATGACGACCACGTCCAAGTGGATTTTGTGTTGATGAATTTGGACGTAATGTTGATTTATTTGATTTTATTTGATGATGTTGTTCATGTTGACGATGACGATGACGAACAAGACTTGTTCGATTTAAAAATGATTTTGAACATTCCGAACATTGATAACGAATTGATGTAGATGATTTTGTACGAGAAATAGAAATATCATTTTCATTGGTTGTTACCTAAAAAAAAAAATAATCTTAGCTTAATCTTTTACAATTCATTAGTTTTTCCTAGAAGTTCATTGAGAATCATGGTGAATTTAAGAGACAAATAGATTGCTGTTCAGTAACAACTTATGTATGAAAAGACTTCAAGCTAGATTTCTTAATCTATTTTGCATTAAAATCTTGTCAAAATTTGCAGTATTTTATAAGAAAAAAAATACAACTGTCTTTCGAATTCTTGAATTTTGTTCGTACTAGGAGTGGGAAGTTACCGTTACGTTCCCAGGTAATTGGTAACTTTTCCGTTACCAGTTTCCGCGTAACTGGTAACGGTTTGATAACCATCTCTGGTCTCCAGCCCCGAACCCTAGGGTTCATCAAGCCCGTTTTTCGAAAATTTTTTTTTAATGCAGAAACAGACTTTTTGAGAAAAAATAAATTTTTCTAAAACACCCCAGAATTTTGTTGCAAAAATTTTTTTTTTCGAAAAAAGTCTGTTTCTGCATTAAAAAAAATTGTTTTTCAAAAAGAGGGCTTGATGAACCCTAGGGTTCGGGGCTGGAGACCGAAGATGGTTATCAAACCGTTCCCAGTTCCCCGAGAACGGAAAAGTTACCGTTTTCGTTCCCGGGTAACGTTTGGGAACGGTAACTTCCCACCCCTAGTTCGTACACTCATCTTTTCTGATATTGTTCAACATAAATATAGATTTATCTCAGAATTCATGATAGTGACTGTCATAGAAGATGTTCAAATTTTCACTTCATAAAAAAAAAAAATTTATTGAGTCGTTCGTGATACTATTGAAAATTTTCTTTGACAAAGCATAGACGAGATTCCATCTCTTCATGTCTAAGAATTTCGTAACTTATACGTCTAAATGTTTCATAAAAATTCAATCATATAGATGTACGATTTAACATCTGACTGAATGCAATCTTCAGAAAACTACGTGATAATTCTTGTTCTAAGACTTTGTGTTGAATGATATTTTTCCAAGTCTAAAAGCTCTACTAGAGTCGAAAAAACCCACCATCAAGATAGCTGAGATTCTTTCATTTTAGAATCTTTTCAATGAAAGAAGAAAAAAAATAGCTTATGAATAAAATTCTTTCTATAAACGTTATTCATTTTAATCCATTTTTGATTAAAATAAATCTTATATTTGATATATATTAAATACTAAACTATAAAATCATAATAATTTAATTAGAAATGAATATAAAACATACTTTTAATTTTTTATTTGTATTTTCATTATCTATTGAAAATTTTCTTTTATTAATATTTTCATAACGTGTTTGATCAATACGTCTTGCACTTTGTAAAACTTGTTCAAAAACTCTTTCATGTTCATCATCATTATTATCATCATCATCTGTATTTGATTCATCATCATCATCATCATTATTATTATTATTTTTATTTAATTTTGTTATTATCATTTCAGGTTCATTATCAAGACTTTTAGGTAATGATAAATTTATATCAAAATAATTTGAATCAAAAAATGTTATAAATGATGCAGCTATTGCAACATTATTTTGTTGTTCAATATCAATTGTTAGAATTATTTCATTTTTTATATTATTAATATCAATTTTTGATAATATATTTTCATTTATCCATGAATATGTTTCATGAAGAACAATAGCTGGCATATATGTATACCAACGATAAATATATCGTTGATTAATATGATATGCACGACCAGCTAAAAATGTTGATGCTTCACTTGTTATTTTTCGTTGTATATCATTTGATTTAGTTAATGTTATAACAGCATCTGTATGCATTAAACGATAAACAATTTCATTAAGTAATGATTCAGGATATTGAGAAAATATACAATGAAGAATAAATGCTTTTATTGTACCAGAACGTTCATTTGATAATAATGAACTATGTGCTGCCATACTTATTGTTGAACTTAATATTGATTTCGTTGATCTGAGAACAAAAAAAATCAAATATAAAGAAGATTTAATTAAAAAAACAAAATAACGTTTATCAACATAATATACACCACAGGCTAAAAGTTCCTGGACGTATGAAACACTCGAGTGAAGATCAATCGTTTTCCATGATATTTTTACCCGAGATGCAACTTGAAAAACTATGATCGTTAGTACCAATTCGAGCTCGAATACGCTGAGTAAAAGTTGAGTTAGAGATCAAATACTGTTTTCAGTCCGGTAAGCACAATTTCTATATTTAAAGGATTTCTCAACCTGGTTGATCCATTATTTCGAACTTTCTACTTGCTATGTTTATGAATATCACCAATTTCTTCTAAAAAAACTTATATCGGAGATGTAACAAGCAGCAGTCTTCAAAAGCAAGAGTGAGCTAGATTGAAAATTTCTTTAACTATACCGGACTGAAAGCGGTATTTGATCTCTAACTCAACTTTTACTTAGTGTATTCGAGCTCGGATTGATACTGACGATCACAGTTTTTCAAGTTGCGCCTCTGGTAAAAATATCATATAAAACGATTGATCTTCACTCGAAGTTTCATACGTCCAGGAACTTCTAGCCAGTAGTGTATTTAGAGCTAGAACATTGGAAAATTTTAGAATATTCAAACAAATCCTAAAATGATAAGAGCACAAAAGAGTTTTCTACAAAAACTAGATCTACTAATAGATAGAATATGTTGGAAATATCAACACAAAGAATTATTCCTTTCATAAGACATTGAATATGCACAAAGTTTGACCTCAAAAAAAAAATTTACAAGTTCTCCTCATCGGATCAGTTTTTAAGATTCTTCTAAAAAATCACAAATTGTCGAACAAGTCTTTGACAATTGTTCCCTTTAATTTTTATAAAGATATCCACCATAATAATTTGCTTTTTTCGCTCATTGCTACAAATGAATTAGATTCAAAATCTTGACTACAAACTTACTCAGGTTGATTTGATAATTGAAATATTGTTGATGGTTTTCCAATAATTTTATATTGTTTTAAAAGTTCATCTTTTGTATTAGGTAAATATTCAATTGTACCTTGTGGTATACAATGTAAATATCCAGTTCGAATAAAATTTTGAAATTTATAATATATTCTTTCGAAAAGTAAAAGAAAAAAATGTTCATTTGAACGATATCGTTGTTTAAGATAACGTTTAGCTTCATTACGAAATGTTAATAAATATGTATCAGTTGAACAAAGTACAGATAAATGTTCTAATTGAATTAAACGTGTTTGTTGTGACATATCATTTTTTATTTTTCGTACAACATTTTGTGGAGTTTTTGTACGTGATGAACGAGGAAGAATACGTATAAGACATGCACGAAATAATTCTTTATTAAATGGAAGAAATGCAGCTGGACGACGACTTCCAATTGAATTAGAATCTTGAGATATATCAGGTGTATTAGGTTGTTTACGAGGTAAATAAAATGCAAGTGAAGCATTTATTAATGATATAACACGTTCTTCTATTGGTGACCAACGTACACGAAGAGCTGTTGAATTGATTTGTTCTAAATAAGAAGAAAACAAATATTTGTATTGAATATACTAACATTCCGGAGTCATAAGATTTGCTTGAATTTGTATTTTATTTATAAGTAGAAACTTTTTGAAATTAGAAGAAAGTTATGAGGAAATAATTATTTTTCGAATAATCAAATGAAAAAATTTTGCAAATCTTTTTAGGATTCTTCTAGTCTCATAGAGTTCTACTTATGGGAAAAGTTTAAATTCTAACGAAAGATAACATATGATCAATATTCTATGTTTAGATATATTGAACAATAATGTTAATTATTGTATTCGAGAAAATTTTTGCCACAAGTTCATATATTGACCATGTCTTGTCACAATATATGAATCAAAGATAGGATCGATTCAAATTTTAAAATAAAATTTAAATAGAATCAAATCTATCGTAGATTCGAACTAACGAGGGAGCACCCCTAGGTGAAGCTCCGCTTTTGATGTGATATATAGGCCTTAGTGAGACTATAAAAATCCTAAAATGGTTTGGGTTTCTGGCGTTTCCTTCTTGAGCTATGACCGTTTTAGTAAAATTTTGGCCCTATGGTAGGTACTTTCGAAAAATTTCATTTTGATCTGAAATTTTGTCGGTAGATAGCTCTTATAGATACTAGATTATCCTGAAAGTTTTGACAAAAACGAATGTATCCTTCTCGATATATTCAATTGGCAAAAAAATCGACATTTGTCATACGAAAGATACAATAATTGAGTTTCCTGTAAATTCAATATCTCGAGAAGGATACATTCGTTTTTGTCAAAACTTTCAGGATAATCTAGTATCTATAAGAGCTATCTACCGACAAAATTTCAGATCAAAATCCTCAAAATGAAATTTTTCGAAAGTACCTACCATAGGGCCAAAATTTTGCTAAAACGGTCATAGCTCAAGAAGAAAGCGCCAGAAACTCAAACCATTTTAGGATTTTTCTAGTCTCACTAAGGCCTATATATCACATCAAAAGCGGAGCTTCACCTAGGGATGCTTCTTCGTAAGTCTCATGTGTAGAATAAAAGCACATCTTCAAAAGACTTTATTCATAAGTAAAAATTACCTTCATCATCAGATTCTTGTTCATCATTTAATTTCTGTTTCTTTTTATTTCTTTGATTAATATTTTTTTGCATAGATTTATCACATAAAATATCATTATAACGATTTAATATTGTTTTATTTTTATCTCTAATATATTGAAAAAGTAATTTTTTACGTCTATCAATAAATTGTATTTGATTTAATAATTCATATGGTATAATATATCTTGATAAATGACCATAATTTTCAATATTATGTGATAATTTAATTGATATATTTAAATTTCGTTTTGTTTTATGAAATATTGATGATGATGTTGTTGTTGTTGTTGTTAATGATGAATTTAAATTTGTATCAAAATTTGATGATAATATATTTGCACCACGTTTACGAATATTATTTTTACGTTTTTGTGCTAAATGTCTTGTATATGAACGTTTAAGTGCAACATCAATAGGTACACGTAATTCACAAACTGGTATACAACAATGATTTGCTTCACGATTAAGTAATTTTAATATACGTTTATTATTATATGGAAGTTTCCATGATTTACGTAAAAATAAATATAAATCATAATCAAAACCAGCTGGACCATTTGTTTTACCAAGTGGAATTTTAATTTCATTAATATTTTCTATTGATATTGGTTTAATAGCTTGTTTAAGTATATCAATTATATGTGAACGATTTTGTTTACGTGAAAAAATTTTAATACGATATGTATTTAATGCTATTTCAATTAAATCAAACCAATAACGATTAATATTTGTTAATGATATAAAATTATATATTTGTTTAGGATAATTTGACATATTTTCAATTGGTTCATTAGAATTATTTGTTTGATTTATTGTATTAATAAGATATGCTTTTGAATGAACATAAATTAATGTATTTAATTTTTCTAAACGACTTATTATTGGTCGATCAACAAATGTTATTAAACCAAGTGTTGATAAATATTTTAATACTTCAGTTATACGATATAAATAATGACGACGAACAACAAGTGGATAACGCATTTCAGCTGGTAGATCTCGTACAAGTATATAACGTTTTGTTGGATGTGAAAGTAATTCCATAAGACCAGGAACTTTATATGGTACATAAACAATAGCAAGAAATATTGATACAGGCATACACATAAGAAAATCATCTAAATAAAGACAACCTGATGGTATTGAACGACCACGAGTATCTAATGGTGGTACAAATGTTTTCCAATTAGCACCTTGATTTGATCCAATATAACGACGAGTAGTTGGAATAGAATCGAGTATTGTTTGAACTTCAGGATCATTTGATACAAGTGGTGGATCTATATCAATAGTTGACTAAAAATATAAATAAAGATTTTAATAGATGATTCATAGAGAACATATTTCTCTGTAATCTTTCAACATAACAAGTCGGTATATCTACAAATAAGCTTCTCAACTAAATTCTGTCGAGTTCTAAATTTTTAAACCCGAGCTCTGATATTCTCAATAGAATATCCTAATCAAAATTCAATAGTCACTTCGAGCATACGAAATACTTTTTCCTATCGAACCTTTGATCAAACTAACAGACATAAAACGATCAAGAAACTATTTAACGAGTTCAGATCGTATCAAATATTTCGACAACTGATCAAGCAATTCTTAAAGAATCCTAAGGTTCGGTCAAGTTTAGATTTAACTTCTATTCCTCTAGCTTTAATAATTAATTAAAAATTACTGCATTCAAGACCGAATCATAACGTTCGGTTCTATGGATCCATTACATAGATGAATAGAAGATCCATATTCACATTCGAATAAGAACAATGTTCATTTTTATTATTCAAACTAGTTTCGAGTTGATAATTGATTGAATTCTTGTGTGATTAAGAGAAAGGCTAACAATATCTTTTATAAAAGCTCAATGCAAAAGGTTCAATTATATTATCAATATTTATACCTCAATTATTTCATTATTAATTTTTCCTTCATAACCATAGAGTAAATAGAAAAGAAATTTATGTAAAATTGCACAACGTTGAAATTTATAAACATAACCATAACAATTTCCAAAACCAGTTATATTTTCTAATGGTTTCTTTTTTAATAAAGCTATTTTTTCTTCTTCTAAACCATTATTAAATAAATGATCAATTGTTATTTTTGAATCATCATCATATTGTTTATTATCTTCTACAATTTGATCTTGTTGATCATTTGTTGTATTTAATAAATTTTTACGTGATAGTTGTTTAGATTTATTTGTTGTTGATGATGATGATGGTACTTCAATTGTTTCTTGTGATAATTCAATTTTAAATTGTTGTATACGTTCACAATTAGGTGTTATATCAATTGTATTCATAGCTAAACAAATAATTGTTCGTGATTGTTTTATACGTGCTGTAAAACGAAATAAAAATTTATGAATTTTTTCAAGTTCATCAACTAATTTATCTAATGTTTTACGATCCATATGTATTGTTAAACCTTCATCACGTTCACTTAACATAATAGCAGCACGTAAATCAGTTAATGTACATATAGGATGTTCATTCATATAGGAACGTATTAAATCAAGACGATGTTCACGTTTAATATTTATACGTTTAACTGGATTAACACGTGTTTTTGATTTTTTTTTTGGAGGTTCATTTAATGGTACAGATTGAATTGATGGACGCCATATAATTTCAGATGAAACAAGACGTGATAATAATGGTTCATTGTCAAGATGTTCAGCATCAATAGGTTCACATTTGATAAAAGATGTAGAATTTGATGAAGGTTCTGTCAATGATGTTGGACTTTCGGCTAGACAAAAAAAAATTATTTATTCAAGTTTAGAATACACATTAGGAATAAATTGTTGCTATACGACTAAAAAATCATATATGAATAAGGTCTCTCAAGTTCCTCTATCTAAATCAAAATTTCATCTATTATCTGAGAAAAAGACGTCTACCTGTCTTATCTATCGATTAGTGAAAACCACAGGTCTCTAGCTGTTTACGTTCTCGAGTTATTCAAAAAATGGTGACGAGCATTATATTTTGAAATGAACATTAGAAATAAAACATTTTTGATTTTAATTCAAAAATAGTCGTCTTAACAATGATATGACTATGTTCAAATGTAAATATACTACTATTATAATTAGATGTCTTGAAAAACAAAACATTTATTTGAAAAATACCTTGTGTTGTTTCGATAAATTCTTTTTGTTTATTATTCGATTTCTTTCGTTTAGTACGTGGTGTTTTAGAAATAATCTGTTGTCGAATATTATTATTTGTCGATGATGTTGATGCTTTTGTTGTTGTTGTTGGCATATATTTTTTCAATACAATCTTTAATAAATATATTCAAAAAAAAAACATTATTTTCATTTATATATATAAAGTAACTTACTCTATTTTCCATAATTTTTCCTTTTTGATTAAGTTGAACACTTTTCAATGAAATATGTTTCATATTTTTTGTTAATGATTTAATTTCTGATCTTGCTGAATAAAATGATAAATGACATATATTTGCTAAATCTCTTTGTGATAAACCAATATGTTTAACTTGTTCTAATAATTGATAATATTGAAAATGATATGGTCGATCAATATATAATCGAAGATTTTTTTGATCTAATTGACTTGATGCTTCTGATAAAGGTAACATATTTGAATCATCATCATCATCATCATCACCACCACCAACATTATCATTATCATCAATAATAACATCTTCATCATCATCATCTTCATCTGTTTGTTCATTATCATCACTTGATGATGCAATTTCTTCATCATCATCTTTATTTATATTATTTGATTTTAAACGAAAAAAAGTATATGAACGTAAACGTATACGATTATTTATTGATATTAATGTTGATGAATCATCTTCATTATTTAAAAATTTTTTTAAATCATATTCATTCATTGTTTTATTATATTTTTCAATTAAATTTAAACGTTTACATTTTCTCATTAATGAACGAAATGATTTTTCACCTAATGATAAATATGTTTTTAAATAATTTCTTTCACATGATTGATTTTTACATTGTTCTAAATATGTTTTTAAACGATCAATTATTGTATATTTTGAATTTAAATAATCATTTGTTGTTATATAACGTGTCATTATTAATATTGGTTGTTTAAGTGTACCAATTAATTGTCGTGTTAAATTTAATTTTTTTATTATATCTAATGATATTAATTGTTTAAGATAATAAAATAATGATTTACTATTAATATTAAATATTTTTGATAAACCATCATTACCAGATGTTGATATACCTTTTGAACGTGTTTTACATATACATTCAAGTAATGCATATTCATATTTACTAAATAATTGTTTTGTATCATATCGACCTTGTATAATACGAAATTCACGAACATTTTGTTCAACAACAATATGTATACGATCAATATTTTGTATATTATCAAGTATTAAATAATTAGATTTATTTAATATTAATTTTCGTTGATTATATGTTGATGAATAACCACGATGATTTAATTCAAGATTTTCAATTGCAAGATTATTTGATGATGATATTGTATGAATTTTTTCTGGTAATTCATATAATTCAATACATGAACATGATAAAAGAATTTTCCATATATATGAACGAAGATAAATATCAGTTGATAATTGATTATTAATAGAAAGAAATAATGGTTTAACAATAGAATATAAATGATTGAATGTACAACCATCGAGACCTTCAACAGATAATTCATCAATAAGAATATCTCGAAAATGATTCCAATTCATGATTTCTTTTTTGTTTTATATGTATTAGAAAAATACTCTGCATCAGATTCGAACACAAGACTGATGCAAGATCAAAATAATATCGATTGGTTCTATTCTTATCTTTTATGTCGTTTTTTATTATTTAAAATAGAAAACAAAGTCGATAGATGGCAGAATGTAACAGACATGAAGTCTTTTTTACCGAAAAGCGTCAAAAAAAATTTTTTATTGACAAGTATCGCCGTCTTAATACTTTTGAAATTTCTCCATTATTATCTGTTTAATTGAAATAATTTGATGATTTACAATAGGATCCCATCGGAAGTTGTGAATATGGCGAGTGTGTGTGAGTGAAAAGCAGCATCAACTTACATTCATAACTATATTTCAATAAAATGCAGAACAAATGTTCTGTATGCATCAACAATGCGCCGACAGTGTGCATTGAGTCAGTACAATATAAAACTGGATGCAACGATGTGTCTAAAATGTCTTCTTCGCTACTAGAGTGTTTAGGGTGTGAGAGAATAGAAGGTCCACACTCACAGTCTGCCATCAATGTGCCAGGATGATATTGAAAAACTCAGTATCATGGAGAAGTTCATTGCAACAACCCCAAAAAGCTTCAGACAATACAGAAACTTATCAATATTAAAGCCGAAAGCTTGCATTAGTATACAAATCGCTGAGAGTCATAAAAAAATTCTGTTCTGACCAACACGGATGATGGTGACGGCACAGGAGTCGTGGTCACTCAGTCACTTAGCAGGAGGTAAGTAAAAAGTTCTGAGTGATACAAAAAATCATGAGAACTCCGGCGACATATTTAAACGCACATAAGGATCCGTTAGACAGTCGTTCAGAACATTTAGTGTATCTATCAATGTGTCTAGGTCAAGGCAAGCGTTGGAGTAAGTGCCAACGATGAGCATTATGTCATTGTAAGAATACTTGGGAGTTACATCAAATACATATGTTTCGGGGTGTGGGTGTGAGCATGGGTATTATCTTCTCTTCACTTACACATCGCGTGTGGTTGAGTGGGAGTGAAGCTGTGAGTATGAATGTGAGTCTTCATCTTCTGTTTACCTACGCTGACATTCACCAATATTTTCCCACCACTCCAAATCTACGCATATCCTCCATTTAAGTCTGGTACCGATAATAATATGAATGAAAACTGCACGGGTCGGTGTGGGTGTCGGATGAATGCGTGGATCAGTATCGAGGTGAGTAAAGAAAGGATGAAGACCCACACCCACACCTGCGCCCCACATCCAACCACACGCACATCTCCAACCGCATTCCCACACCGGCACCCTTCTCGATATTCTACGTTTTGTCAACTACATTTTCAACATTTTGCTTTTGGCTGTTTATCTTCCATATAAATCATACTGATCATATTTTCAATTTACATTAATGGAGTAATGATGTAGCGTGATGACTTTTAATTATCTATTAGCAAGTTATAAGTACCCATACTACTAGACATATGTTTGTTTATGTCTTCCTATTTTACCTGTGAGTGCAATAAACTAGTCATGTTTGAATAAAAAAAAGGAAGTGATGACACAACACAAACATAATATAAGTGTTTGACTACTGAGTCGCAAAGAAATAGTTATTTCGCTCCATGCCGCTTATTATGGTGGTTCAGTATTTGTTTCATAATGTGTTGCAAACAATCGTGCGTTTTGTACAAGGTTAACATGAACATCTACTGACTTTGTTACTTGTCCAGCATATGACTATGGTGGGATCTTGTTTCGTTTCTTTTGAATCATTGAAGTTTGTATAGAATTTCATTTCTCTGTAACGTGAGTAGATTGTTTCTTTAAAATAATTTTATTCTCATCCATTGTCTTAATGAATATACTATTGAAACATTGAATAATAAGCCTCGAGCATTCATATAATGAGTTTTTACATGCAAAATTTTCCAATACGATTAACTACTTAGAGCTTTTTTCTTGATTTTCAGTATTTTGTAGCTTCAACTTTCTGTCTTCTATAGGTAACAGCTTCTCAGGAAAAATATTGATGCCATGTGAGAAAACAAGTAAAAAGTTCAAAACATGAATACAGCTTGTTTATAATTCTGTATTTATACTTTAATTCTATCTAACTTAGACAGAATCGAAGAAATTTCAGAGATCTAACTAAGAAAAAGGAAATAAACGTTCATTTTACATTAGTTATAGATTCGATAAGTTACATAGTCGGCAAATGTTCACAGAAGATCCATCAAAAAGAAAAATATTGTTCTCATGATGCGTTTCAAAATATTCTGTATTGGAACTTTTTTTCCATGATTTATCTAGATTACGTTGTGGTCAAGAAAAAATCACACAACAAGGATGAATTAGTTTCAGAAAGATTTGTGTCCTGAAATATACCTGTAGTCTGATTCGAGTAAAAGTTATTCGTTTCAGAACCGTACCAAAAGTCGAAAGGTAGCGATGGTCGGCCAATAAAGTCGATTTTTTCGTTTTAAAGAAGACGTCAAGATATGATTACGTTTTGCTGTAAAAATCAAGATTTTCCGAAAGAAAGGGACCAAGCAGCTTCCGGTGATTTTCTAGTCATGAGTGTTGCCTTCAACTTTGGAATACATTCTATTGAATTTTATCTGTCTAAAAAGAATTCAAATAATAACAGAGATTCAGTGATGTACTCAGCGCACAATTGTACCTATTTAACGAATGCTCCAGAACGAAGGCTAAGCTTTTTTTTTACGACAAAATATCCAAAGTTTCAAATGATCATTAAAATCAACTGTTTTTTTTTTCATAGAAAACACAGTTCAAAAATGAAGGCTATCCAATAGTGATAAAAGAAATATTCTATCATTCATTTATTCCATGAGAAACCAGAGGTATCTTTAAAAACGATAACTGTTTTAATATGTTTTTGAATAGTTATTCTTCGATAAGTATACTACATTGTGAAGAAAAATTGTCCTTTTATTAATCTGTTACGGTAGAAACAGAGTTCTGATGGAAAATTTCTCTTTCGGTGTTTTTTTGCTCTCTTCTGTCTGTTGTTTGTTTCTTCTATTTCAGAACGTCATTTTGTACATAATGAATGTGTTCTCCCAGTTGTACGAATATGATATAAATATATATATAGTAGCCGTTTGTTTTCTTAATAACGATGTTAAAGTGATAAAGTTTCTTTTTTTCTTCTGCATTCCATACAAATGAGATCGCATATAATATGTTTAACTTGCCACACGTATAGAAGTTATCTTACATAGGTATTTTATAGTATGGCTTACTTTTAGATATTGCGATTGTCCTCTACGTTTTGCAGTCATGGAGAAAACCTTACAACCTCAAAAACAACTTCGAAATTCTCGTTATACCGATGTATGTGACGAACCTTTAACACGCATGCTCTCGCCCATCAAAGGCTACGAGTCGATGCCTGTAGTACCGTTAGAAGAAGCGGTGTCTGACGTATCCAATTTTTTCGATGACATCGAAGGTTGTGTAAACGAAGCTAAAAGGAACTGCAAGCAACCAGCAAATGGTCTCAGTCAAGATGAATCAGCGTCAATTTATCTATATACAATGGAATTCGACATCGAACCTAGTTTATATAAGATCCTTAATAAAGCTCTTAGAGCAGAAAATCGAAACAAGCTTAAACCGTGGTTTCCCTTTCTGAAATTATTTCTCACGGCTCTTTACAAGCTTCCTTCATGTGCCCCTCAGACAGTGTGGCGTGGCATACGTGATGTTGATTTGAGTGCCGAGTATCCTATAGGAAAGAAGATTTTTTGGTGGGGTGTTAGTTCATGCACACGAAGTCTTCATATCCTGGAATCTGATCAATTTTTGGGCAAACATGGTACACGAACTTTGTTCAGCATTGACTGTAAGCATGGAAAGTCAGTTGAATCGCATTCTTGTTTCAAAAATGCAGAACGCGAAGTCATTTTAATACCTGGCTCTTACTTCATGGTCATTGGTCAGTTGAATCCAGCAGTTGGATTACATATTATTCATCTGGAAGAAATAGATTCACCCATTACATTTGTTAAACCACCATTCGAAAATTTCTCGCTAACATCGAAACCAATACAAAATAAACCAACAACAGATAAACAGCATCTGCCAGTTCAAAATGGAAACCATGTGATGCTGTTAAAACCTAAAACATTAGCAGCTCAATACTCACCACCTATGAAGACATTCAGTAGTGCGAAACTTGAGAAAATTAAAACATCGATAAATGAGCCACATTCATTAGTGCCTGATTCTCATTTCCGGCCACCTCTGAAACCTAAAGTACCAGAAGGTAAATACTATCTATTTCGAAATCGAGTGCCGCTTGTTGCTCGCTAATGAGTTCGATGGCACTGAGAGTCATCGAATTTGCTGTTTATACTTTGGAAAAAAGTAGTTTCAAATCTTTCATCTGGAAAACATGTACGTTAGAAATAGATCGAGAAGTTTTTATCGGAAACAGCGCTGTTTTCTGTTATATACTTGTATAGAATTAATCAACATTGTAGTCCAAGTTAGAATTAGTACTGTTGACAGATGTCAGTCACAGATCAAATCTGTTCCCACAGAAAAATACTAGTAATATTCTAGAATGACTTGCAATGAAGAAGTTACTACTACATTGATAATGGTTAAAGTGCTTACCTAGAATGTTAGAATTTCACTTTGCTTGCATTGTACAAGCTGCTTAACTCGCATAATTCCATGTTTCACCAATTCAGAAAGAAAAACAGTTAATTAAATACTATGAACCACTTGCAATGAATTGTCCCATTTTGTTGTATCATAATTATTTTTGAGTGAGAGTACGAATGACGAGATCAGAGATGAAGATAGATTGTTCTACCTGAACGGTCTCATCCCAGGACAGATAATATGAGAGACACATGATGGTGGGGTATAGCCTTCAATCGTGAAAAATTTTCGCTTTGGTTCAGCGGAGTCGGAAGACTTCTTGCGCTCTGCTGTAATTCCGGAAAAATTATTTGCTTTCTATCCTATTCTGCTGCAATCATGATCGAAAACCTTTCGAACCAGTCCTGTATGAGTTACAAGTGTATCGTTTACATGTTTTTTTTCATGCCTAGTAAAACTAGGAAGTTTTGCACATGTTCTTGGTGTTTACCAGTGAGAAGAGAAGAAGACATGACAGTGTGACCTAACACTGACCACTGTTTCAAAATCAGCTATTTTCATCTGAGAACAAGTGGAATGGTTGATATAAACACTTTTCAAGATGCAGCTTGTCTGATGTGCACGTATTGTGGCCTATTGCTTTTTGCATCTAATTATGCTCACTAATATTGCTGTTCTGTCAGTAGAGAAGCTTAAGGAACAACTATAATTATTCTGTGCAAGTTATATTGAATATTTTTATGAGCAATATGTTTACAAACTATGTCTTCATTTTGCTAGCTATTGCTGCATTATCATTTCCGAAGTCTACTGTTTTAGATCATATTTTCGTGAGTGGTACGTGGTTGAATCGTTACAATCTGTATGAAACTTGGCATGGACCATTTCAACATTGGATGACTTTCAAATCTCATGAAAATAAATTTGAAGGTCATGGCATCGATGATGTAGGCGAATTTGTGTTGAGCGGCTTCTATTCAAGACCCACGCTACAGATCATGATAACTCAAACATACAAGGTACGAATGTTTATTCTGCATATGAACAAGTTTGACATTGCTTTTAGTAATATTCGCTTTTCCTAAGGAGAATATTTTGAAATTTTCTCAACGGGAAAGTTAATTTTGGAAATTACTAGGAAATATCTCTATACATAGGAGTAGACTTTCAATTCTCATCTTTACCTCTTGTACAAACTGAAACTATATGTTGAGATCGTATTTAAAACTTATCTAGTTGCCTTCACATTTTCCGATTCGAGATGAAACTTCATAGTAATGTCTTTTCATCGTCAAAACTGCATCTGATACTCTTTGTGATTGTTTTAGCCCAAAGTCAGAGATGACGAAAAAATGACTTTTTCGGAAATCTGAACTTACTTACTTTTCTGTTTCTGTTTATAGTTGGGAACTGGCAATCAATATTTGAATCAAGGTCATCAATGCCAGTGTTCCATGACTTGGAGGAAAGAAAAGAACACTTTTGAAGGCCTCATGTACGTGTCCAATGGATTGATTGTGATGCCCGGTGGTATGTTCGAAATGTGGCCTGCTCAACTTGCTCGAACCTAAGATACTTTTCTTGAATTCGTGATATGTCTTTACTCATTCCTTGGTTGTTGTTCTGCAATTTTGACCGTCGAGTTAACTCTAGTTTGTCGCTTGTTCAAGCTTTTTCCATAGAGTCGCACCATCAATTTTTGTAGCTAGTTGCCATTCATGATATTTTCAAATAGTGGTGGAAATATTTTATCAGTAATATTTATTGATTCATGCAAAATAAAGTTTTCTAACAATCGATCACAAAATGCTTCAATATATGCTTCTTTTCTGATCTTGCTGATTTATATTGATTAATATTTGTCCACTAATCGAGTGTTAATAACGATGTTCGGATCACTTGAGGGGTGCAGGTATGGATGTGCTTGCGAGAGAATAGAAGACCGCACCCATGCTCTCAAAGATTTGTTTTTCTTTCCTAGGGTGAAAGGATAATGTCAAAGATTTCCTTAAATAAACATATTTATATTCTTATTGTATTGTCACTTGATAACAATAATAAAAAAAATCGTAGGAGTATTTTAATTTAACTAACTATCATCTTCATATTTAGCAACAATGTCGTTATCATAAACTTCTGCTAATGTATCATTATTAATTATAATAAATAGTGTATTTAAGTTTTTAGCTAATTTTTCATTAGTTGTGCCTTTGATGGTCAATATGATACACTTAATCGTCTATATACCTATATATGTAAATCCGCAACTATCGATTATATTCACCGATAATCTAATGCTTGATTGCTCCTCATTTATTTCCATAACGTTAAGTACCATCTCTTCATTAATATAATCCTTGACTACTACACAAATGTAATCAATTCTGACTGTTTTTCTTTTTTCAGTTGGATATGGATGGCTCCATCGAGGAAAAGATGTCGAGAGTATGACATCCTTCTTCTTATCAAGAAAGTTGTTTATTTTTCCCTAGCAGAGACGAAAATGTTTTGTATACTCTATTATGCTGAATTTGAACCAGTTACAAGATGTCGTCTAAATGTACATTGCTGAGAAAAATTTAAAATGGTTTCATTGTTGGTTTTCTTCATATTCAATAATTTAATGTAGATTTTTACAATGTAGATAGTCGATACCATTAATGAATAAAAACCAATCCAAACCTATAAAAGCTATTTGGCTCCATAGACCAACAGAAAAACATTGGTATTTATGTATCCTTTAACAGACAAAATTGAATATATAGACAGTACGTGCAGTTTACAATGAAAACAAAAGAAATATAGGAATAAAAAGAAACAAAAACAGAATTACAATATCGGTCACGCTATATACATACAATACATGATGGTGATCCAAGAGTATCACCAAATGAACCTAGTTCAGTGATAAAATTTGATAAATAATATGACAAGCATTCAGAATTATCATGGGTTGTGTGGGTGTTGATGAGGAAAAGAACCACATACAGTCATACACCGCCTCTTCGTAGATCTGAGTTTTCTCCAGCCTGATAAGGAACATTGAAGACAGTTGTAATTGATTGCGATTTATGAATTAACGAGTAGTAGTTATTAATAACTACATTGCGCTCTTGAATTCGTTTAAATGATCATATACAAGGATCATATAGAAACCTATAAAAAAGAACACTAACTAGGATATGATAGTGATGATCAACAATTCTCACCTGATATAAGAACAAACCAACTCTCAATCACCAACATCATATAAAGATCGAATTAAATCAGTCTTCTCTGTTGGAGGGCGTCGATATGGATGTGAGCATGGGTGTGGATGTGAGTGTCCGTGTGTATGTTGATTAGGAGAAGAACCACACCCACACCCATATTCGCACCCATACCAACACCCCGCATCCCAGTCTTCACACCAACCCTCAACTCTCACTCACATCACCCACCTATATGCACACCTGTAACCAGCCACACTTCGCTTGAACGAAAAAAACAAAATTGTAATGAAATTTTTGTTTTTCTGTCAGAAATTGTCTTGTCTTGTGTCTTTCTGAATGATTCGAGAACAATGTATTCTTATCGCAGTTAGTTTAAAGAATTGAAACTTTGTGGACATATTTTAACAATCTTCGTTAGTTATGCGTTCTTATCTTTACTTTTCTTTATTTTTAAGAAGAAACACGCGTGAAATGGAGATGCAGTTACTTTCGGTCGAGAGATAAATACAGCATGGATCAACATGTTTTTAGTCAGTTTTCACATCGTGTTGGTTGTACAGTAATTGGGAAAGCATTTTGCGATGGCTGTGAACATGCATTCAATGACGGTGAGATGGGATTTCGATGCATGGAGTGCAGCGGTTTTGTACTTCCTGGAAGCAATGAACGACATGTTCGAGAAGTAGAGGTAACAACTACTACGCGAGCGAAATATGGAACTACGCAGTTAACCACGACACGCACAACTCCCTTCATTGGTTATGATCTATGTCTAGACTGTGCCAAGAAGCCATCGCTACATTCGCACCACCATTTTACGATCGCTATTTATCGTCGTTAAGGGACTACACATTGCTTGTGACTGATATTGTTCTGGTAGAATTTTTTTCCCCATAATATCGATGCTTTGACATACCTAATGGTAACAAATTACATTTTGTCTGCATGTCTGTGTGAAACCCTTTTTCAATCAACCATTACCTTTCTTTTCATGGATCACATTTCGTTTCAAGTTTATTCATAATTCATTTTGCCACTGTTTTCGACTTTTGCATTTATATCAAATGATGAGTTCTAATGAGTGTGGCCAGAAACAAACTATACAGCGAGGTAAATGAACCGTTGTTAAACAGAAAATGACTAAGATACATGTGCTTGCTATGCTGAGGCATACATAATGTCACATAGTTGCAAAACTACCGGAAACAGTACGCCTTTATGCTTTTGGGTACTTCACTTGCTTCAAGTTACTTCAACAAAGCTGAAGTCGTGGTGTTCCCGTTGGCATGCCGACACTTGTTATTTTCATCACAGCCCACTAAAAGTTTCAGAAAGCATGATTCTCAAATGTATGCGACCGCCTGTAATGTAAATCAATATACTGCACCATGATAGCGTAGAAAGTTTTGACTTTGTGATTTCAAATTAATTAAACAAATGACATCTCTTAAAGGTCCCTCTTCGAGTCTCCAAAGAAAGCGGAATACCGAGATGCATAAATTCAAAGTTCCATGGTTCAAAAGCTAATGAAATCATGCTCCAATGATTGTGAATAAATTCGAGTATGGACCTGGGTGTGTGCCTTTCAATAAACAAATGATCTAAACTCACACCAACACCCTTTCTGTTTTGTTACCAATTTGAAACGATTTCAGTACATTATCAGGGAATTGGCGATATATGAAATTCTCCTGTAAAATAGGCAAATGCCCAAGAGGACTTAAACTTCGATCTATCGAAGAATTGTTATTCTCAATATGCTGTGAACAATATTTTAGAACTATAATTGAGATGACAAGTTTTTCTGATCTTCTATCATTTGAAAACAATGAGTGGCATCACGTCAAAATATTAAAATCACCGATGAAAGAAAAATGCATTGTTTTCAATCGTTAGTAGTTACTAAGAAGACAAAAACACTCTTTAATCGAGTTTCTTATTTTGGATGCGAAGGACAATTCTGTGAAAATATCATATTGAAGACTCATGAAGGAAGTGAGCAAATACTACTCTAACATAGATTCGAATGTCTGCTTACATTGTGAGTCGATACACGATTTGTCATCCTTGATTGTCAATCTATCTTTGATCTTATTAACCGACATCTGCATATCGATTGTTCATGATTGAGAGAATTGTGCAGTTTTGGTCTATCATCGAATTTAAATTAATTTTATGTTTTTTCCGCTGGTGATCTTATTGATATAAGGAATCGAATATGTTCGATTGAAACCTCTATTGATTTTAGTAGGAATGATAACGGCAACCATCTAGTAATATTTGATTGTTGCTGTGATTTTATTGAATTTCGTTATTTAAACCAGTCTAGAAAAAAATCGTTGTAATCTCTTAAACATGTTAAAAAATAAACTAATTTCATGTGTTCGACCAAAGATTTCGTCGCAGCAATGACGTCAAGAAGTTCTTTTGGCTTATCAAGTAATTTTGACAAAATAATTAATGCTTCAGGATATTTTGATGGCGATGGTCTTCTACACGGTTCGTCACTCTCTTCCACTCATAGTGCAATATAAGTGCTTATGATAATACTTTCTAATCATTTCTAGATCTCGTAACATCTTTAGAATTTCATAGAAAAAGTAAAATAAAATTTTGCTGAGTTGGCTCGGTTCGGCCAAATTTCTCGTAAGGTCAAGTCGAGTCGGGTCTCATCACGAACGTAAGAGATCACATGATGATTGTTTTCTTTAAATATATTTTTCCACTAACTTTTATTTAAAATAGAACAGTTTTACAAGACTTTATCAACAAAATGTACATGGAAAATTAATAAATTTTAATCTTAGTTAAAATATCATCTCGATTATTGAGACACATTGCTTGTAAAATTTGCTTATTTCGTTGAATCTCTTTCGAACGTATTTGCATAGCTAACCATAGTTTATCCATGTAAGCTTCATATTTGGTCATCATCTCTGGAATATTTTGTTTCATTCGTCTAAATAGATAAGCAAAATAAATAGCAGCTTCATAACCCATACTGATCGATTGAAAATAAGGTCCACCCATTGCCGCATCACCCATCAATATCCAATGTTGATTGAGATTGTCACTAGTCACAGTATGTGTCAATTTTCTAGCACGATACACTTGTAAGGGAAGTGCAACAAATTCCATCGTATCGAAGTGAATATGGTCCATAATTCCCGAAGAAAGATTGTTTAAAAAAATATTCAAATCATTATAAATCTCATGTTGCTGTTCTCTCAAATAATCGTACGTAATAGGTCGTATTTTCGACACTTCTTGAAACATCGGTTCATCGATTGTAATTAAACATGTGACATGTGTTTCTCTGTCTCTCGTCCTATAAGTATCATCAATCGATGGAATACATTGAAATCTTTTGGTATTTATGTTTTTATAATATTTACATAATTCATTACATTCATATCTATCATCAAGAATAAATGTACATACGATTACATGTTCAATAAGTCGGCTAATACGATTATTTGGTTGAATATGCTCGCGTAACACAGAATGATAGCCTGTACAATCAATTACAACTGTGTTTGGATAACGTTGCAGCAAAGTTAAATTCTTGCTAATATCATATTCATCACCAGTTAAAAGTTGAGCGCCAGATGAGATACAATAATTTTTAAGTGCTTCTTGAATGGTCTGAATTGGCGTAAATAACTCAAGCCAACCAGTAACCATGGCAAAAAGCTCTAATTTCATAGACTCGATCGCTTGCTGACGTTCTTCGATTTGCTCTTCCGAAAACAGAAAAATTTCATCAGTAATTGCGTTTGATAAGAGAATTCGTCCTAATAATTTAACACATCGTGTTCGTGTAATATCAGATCGTTTTTCCAGTATAGTAACATCTACATTTTGATCTCTTAGAAGGGAACCTAGAACAAACGAGAAATAATAGAGCCTAACAAAAGAAATATTTCCTACCTAATAGAAGTCCTACGGGACCGCCACCAATAATTACTACGCGAGTTATAACTGCTTGAGGCATCTGTGATCAAGTCAAAAGTATATCAAATATTTGTATGAAATAGATTGTTTTTGATTATAAATATTAAATCATTTGCATAGAATAATACATATTCTTATCAACTTCTTGCGAAATTATGACTTTGAGGAAAAAAACAACTTCAAGGATACAATAAAGAGTTGTACGAGTAAAGCTTGGAAATTTCTTCTGTTCTGTATGCGTGTGAAAAAAACCATACGTTCCAACAATATTTGCTCTTCAGACATTAGTTATCAGATGAGTTTGTGTTTGGTATGACGCAGCCAAACGTTACTCATGTATTTATTTCATCACATGGCAATAAAACAGTCTTATCAAGAAAAACAACGAGAATAAAATGTTCTAAGAACTACATTAGATGAGTATAAGGAATTTAATATCCTCATCCTCCGCTCTCAACGAAGTATTGAGCAATCACGATTCATAATCAGACGAATATTTGATTCTGTCTGAGTCTCACTGTTAGATCAAAGATATGCAAAATATAATAAGAGTGTAATTTATGTTGAATTGTAATAGTATTTCTAACAAGCTTGTAGACAAAAGAAAATGGATAGAAGGCAAGTTTGATCGTACGATAATGCCTGTATTAATAATAGAAGGGTGTGAGTGGATGAGTGTCAGTATGAGTGTGAATCTTCTCAACATTCATATCCACACCCACACTCACATTTTTGATCCAAAATAGCGATTTTCAGTATATTATTATGTCTTTTATGGTTGTTTCAAAAACTATCACACAAAAGATGCATGTTTTGTTCATTTTGTTTCTACTTTTCCACTTTTCGAAACGTTTATTTGTTTATTTCGTCACATTATTTCAGAAAATTGTTTGCAAAATGATTATTAACGAAAAACACCGATTATATCTCAAAAACTAGAATTGTTAAGTGCAAAATGAGTTACTATTTTTTTCAACCAAATTTTCTTTGTGCGAATTCATTTCACGAGTTCACACAAACAACTGCTTTCTTATATTGATCATTAGTATTTTTTGAATGAATTTTTTTCTTTTTTAAAGTATGAATGAATGAACAGAAAATGTCAAATTTATCTTAAAAAGAGTATAGACACTATTGGTGATCGTGAAAAACATACGAGAATAACTTTTTGATTATTTGCTTTCAGTTGCATTTGGAAAAATAAAAGTGTACACTTTTCTTCATGTTCTTGTTTTAAAATACATTTATTTTATTTGAAATAGTGATGGGCCGTAAGAGGTTCGTAAGAAACGAAATGTTACGTAAGAAAATACGAAGTCACGGAAGAGTAACAGAAGAGTCTAGTAGATCGCGGTAGGGATCTATTTTCGCATAGGCTTCGTAACTATCGTTTCATTTACGTGAGTTTTTGCAAATTTTAAAATTTTAAAATTGCTGGGCAGCCTATCACTAATTGTTTGTAAAATTTTTATTGATTATTGTTTTGATAAAATAGCTTCTCAAACATGATTTTTCCAATTATCATAATAATTTTTATTGATATTATCAAATTTTAATCGTCTATATAAATTATAACATAAAATATTATCACATGATAATGAATACCATGATGTACACACTTGTGAACACGAATATAAATCTTGAATTGATAACTAATTAAATATATGTAAAGCTATTTCACGTGATAATAATATGTTAAAAAATGAAATATCTTCTATTTCATTAATATCACGAATTAATTGATCGAGCAATGTTAAATTAGATGTTTTTAGTGTTTTATTTGGTAGTTCAATGAATTCAGGCTTAGAGATGATGAATTCGATGCAATGAATTTTCGAATATCAGTTTCAAATGATGCATTATTAGCTATTGTACGTAATGGATGAATTGATTGAGAAGATGATGGAATCGATAAAGATCACCAATTGGAATATGTGAAATATTATTGATGAAGTTTGATTTCTTAGCTTTTCTTTTTAAGATTTCTTCCAGTCAAAACTGATGAATTTTATTCAATTGAATTACTTAACAAAATGTTATAATCTCAGGTGAAATATAAATTTTATGTTAACTACGTAGTTAGTGATGCAATCAATCAAAAGTTCTCTATTGAACTCCATGAGTGAATTAAAATTGCAAGCAATTGACTAATCTTATGCTTCAATAATAATCCCTATACGAAGAAAATTGGGTTTTTTTCTGTATTGAAAAAATAATAATTGACACTAGTATAGTCAGTTGTGTTTCTTTAAACTATAAGTAAGTTTCCTAATTACATGCAACTAAAAGAATTCTTTTTTCTAAGTCAAACAACAGAATTTGTCATAAATAAAATTTTTTTCAGTTTTGTTCTGAAAATAAATGCATAAAACCAATTATCTTCAACAAAGACTAATCAGTAAAGATAAGCATAGAATACTGTTGCTGATCAAATATATATTTGGTACAATGGTAGTTAAGTGATATTAGAAGTGTGAGCATGGTTGAAAAGAACAGCAACACCCACATCCACACTCACGTTCTAAGTCTTGGGATACCATTCTTCCAAAACCATATTATCTGTACGCTTTTGGAAGAATCGAACATCAACGCTTGACATAAGTTTTGCGGACACAACGACTTTCCGTACGATTTTCGTCTGATGTTATCAGATTAGGCGAGAGCAAATTTAAGATCTTAAAATCGAATTGTTCGTCCTGGGTTGGAACCGGATTTCGACAGAAAGTTGTCAGATGAGCCAGAGATCCAATAGGATCATGCTGAATTTTCATAAAAATACCAGATCTCGTTTAGACTTCTATAGAACAATAACTCTCAGATCGAGAAAGAGAGCGTCCAAATACGGACGGTTATGGTCATAAACAATTGTATTTTTACTGTCTAGAGCTCTTACATGACTATTTTTGCTCGATATTGTACTCATCTTAATCATCTAACAATGAAAGGATCTGAGAAAAACAAATCGAGTAATAAAAAAATACTTACTCTTGATTGGATGTATTCGTCAAAAATAATCCTAAATAAAGAAAAAAAATAAATATATAAATAAAACTTACTTTTCATTGAATGGATCTATGAAACAATCTAAACCGATGAAAATCAAAATCAATAAATAATTTCTACTTACAGTTGATTCTATTAATACCACAAAATTAAGTTTTTAAGAACACAATATAGCTTACTGACTGATCTCTTTGTTGAGATGAATCTAAAGAAAAAATAAGAGTCTTATCAGATTGCATCAAATCTCATGATTATCGGCTATCGCATCTCATTGAAAGCTGTCGGAAAGTCGTATGAGATCCGACTGGGTGATTTTGGCCTGTATAGTTGTGAATTCGGTACACCTCCTCAGAAGAAAAAAAAATCGGTTTTTTTTAAAAAGGGAACTTATAATTATGTTACTGTACTTTTTGCTTTCCATCGATTTCTGAATCTATATATAAAAGAAGAAAAAGTAAAACAACTACACGTTAGCATACTATATAGACTCATCTTTCTACCGCAAGTATAAGTTAAATCATTAGATTCTTTTCCTAACTAGAAAATGACTTTTTTATATTCTTGATAAAGGTACTCTACAATTTTTTTTATGCATTGTATGTGAAAAAAAATCATCTTTCGTTTTCTTTTTTTGTGTCAATGTCTGTCAACTACAGAAAATTGATGATTCATGAAAGTTTCTGATTGGTTGAATGATTACCAGAATTGATTGATTGATGATTGACTGACTGACTGTCTGACGTCTTAGATACAATGATGAATCATTCCATCGCAACAACAAACTCAACTATACTATAATTCATCGATGTGAAGCAAATAAATTCATAAATAACATTATAATGAATTCGCTGAGTGGATTAAAGTTTTTCTCTACAAATCAAAATTAAAATCAATTATTTTTTATGACACACAGTGATATATCAAATTAATATCTATTTGATATGTTACATGCATGAAAGTCATCTTGCATTTTAATACATACATTGTAAACAAATATTCAAGAATAAATATAATCATTTATAAAAAAAAAACATTGATAGAATAATAAAATATTGTTTTCTTTTCTTCAAAATTCATCTATATTAATTTCAGATTAAGCTGTTGTCTTTTAACGTACAGATACATATATATGATGGCAGTCCCATCACGTTCAAATTTTTTTCATAAAAATATAAGTAAACTTGCAGTATTTTCTGTTGATCGAAGTAACAATCAATTTACGGAATCTATGTGTGTTAAATCATATGGAACAATTACTTGTATGCAAAGAAATTTAACAAAAAAAAAAATAAATTTTCTTTCCTCTATTTTCAAGTTCCTGATAACAGGTCTCATCAAGCAGATTTTATTCGTATATCAAATAAGGCATCTGTCATGCATGTGAAAGAATTCTTGACTGGAGAATGGTCTGGTGAAGTAGGTTATTCAGATTTCTTCGGATTTTTTTTTTTTTTTGGAAACGAATACTTCTTTTTTTTCGTTATTATTTAGCGCCCATCACTTGTCATATCAATAACCGGTGGTGCAAAAAAATATAATATGAAACCCAGATTATTAAGAGCATTTCAACGTGGCCTTCTTAAAGTTGCTCGAACGACGGGTATTGAAAAGTGAAAAAAATTAATAGGATGTCAACATTTGGTTTAAACATTTTTGTTACAGATTTTTAAAACTTATCAGCCGGATTGTCATAGAAACGTGTAGGGACTCCGTGCGCTCTGAACTCTTGGAACTCGAGTAACTTCAACAAATCAAGAATTTATTGAAATTTCGATAAAAGATCAACCATCATAAGTTTAGAATATCGAAAATGCTATGAGAAATGAGAAATATACGATACTATCATTTTTGTGGATATTGACATATAACTGCCTTTCGGTGTAGAGAGAACAGAAACTAACGTGCCCATCTTTTTGAGAGTTCCATAGCTTCCATGACTAGAATTTTATTTTTGAGAATTCAAGGAGTTCAGAACTCATAGAAGCCGGCCATCACTGTGTAATCTTTGATTGTTTGATTCGAAATGTATTTCGTCGAAAATTACTACAATAGTAACACTGTTGACTATTTATTCGTTTGCAGTCTGTTTGTATGGATTATAAAAGAATAAATAGTCAATATTACTATTGTAGTAATTTTCAACAAAATACATTTTGATCAAATAACTGTCGACACAATGTCTTTCGGTAAATTTTCATTCAAAGAATAATTATTCAATCAATGACTCTCTACTAGAGATGTGCGAGACCAAACTCTAGTCCTCATCTCAGTTTCGATGACTGGGACCACTAGAAAAAAAATTGCCTAGATCAGAACTATACTAGACTTATATTTACAAAATATTCTCTTTTGTTCGATTTAAGGTGCATGGATCATTACTGGTGGTATGAATAGAGGTATTATGAAACTTGTTGGTGAAATCGTTGAGACAAATCCTGATCGTTCTCGACCGATTCAACTAATCGTAAGTTTCATATAATTCAAAAATTTGAATTTATTTTTAAACAATAAAATAACACTAGGGTATTGCTACTTGGGGTTGTGTATCCGGTTTTGAAGAACTTGATGTACAAGGTTCGATTGTACATTATGCTAAACCATCTAGTGAGACAAAAGGTCAAGCACCATTGGAACCAAATCATACTAAATTTATTTTTGTCGATGATGAAAGTAAAGGACAATATGGTGGAGAAATAGCTTTTCGTGCTAAACTTGAAAAAGCTATTTCTGGTGGCTTTTTTGCATCCAAAACTACAACTAATTCTAGTAATCTAAATGCAAGTCTATCAAGAACTTCATCTTTACAATCGGAACAATCAGGTTCATATAAAAATTCAATTTTATTTTGTCAATGATAATTAATTTTTTGTTTTTGATTTAGATTCTGTACCTGTTGTTCTTCTTGTTGTTGAAGGCGGTCCAAATACAGTTCGAACAGGTTATAGAAATTATTTATCTACAAATTTAATTGACATTCATCTGTTTATAGTTCATGAAGCTGTTGTTCAAAATAATATTCCAGCTGTTTTTCTTGAAGGAACAGGTCGCTGTTGTGATTTATTTTCTAAAGCATTTCAACTTTATGAAGAAAATCGTCAAAAATTTGAACATATGGATAAAACACGAAAACAGTAAGTATGAAGAGAGATTCATTAATATCTTCATACTAACTTACAAAAGTTACTTGTTTCAAGGTTCATTTCATAAAAAGTCAATTTTTGTCAAAAAAATTGAAATAGTAATAATTGCTTGAAGTCTGATCTTTTATAAACAAGATTATTTTGTATTTAACACCGCCTTTTTTCACTTCGCTATCTTTATTTGATCGTGCATACCAAAATCTTTGAAGATATTTCATTGTAGCCAGATGTGTTTCTTGGAGAGGACATCTGATAGAGAAAACATTCATGAACAGAATAAAATGTTCGCAAGCTCGTCAGAACTTATCTTCATATAATGACATTGATCTTGCTATTGTTCGAAATAGTTATTTTCTATTATTTTTCTATGAAATAAAGTTCAAGGACATTTTATTTTATTCAAAAATGTTTTCTCTATAATATGAATTATTTTTTGAAAAAGGTTTTTAATAGAGTCTAGAAAAATAGTTTTAGAGTCTTGTTTTTCCAAAGATCTCTTCAAAAAACCTGTTAATGGAAATTTGACTAGTACCTCAACTGATGGGACATTGTTTTAGCTACTCACACATTTTCTCTCAATTTTTTCAGCTGGTATCATTAAGAAAGAAAGTCAAAGGTACGCTATTTCTAGACTTTTTACCTCTACTTCACAAACTAATAATTCAGTTCGATTTATAGCATAAAAAAAATACGAATACTATGATGTCTTTTAGTTATAAGAAATTTTTTGTTTCTTCGATTACTGTTTATTTTTAGTGTTGATCAAAATATTATATCAAAACGTAATGAAGAATTAAAAAATACACTTCGCGAACAACTTAAAGATGAACTTCGTGGAATTAGTGGAGAAACTGATGCATCAACTTCTAATACTGATAAAATATCACATAAAACTACAACAACGACAGCAGCTGATAAAACAGATTATTTTGAATTAGTCTATGAATGTATTGATACTCGAAAAACTTATTTGAATATAATTAGTCTTAATTCACGTGATCCAGTTGAACCTGATATTGATTTAGTTATTTTACAAGCACTATTAAATGGTAAAGAAACAAAAAACAATTAAATAAATTTATTATTCATTTTAATATGATTTTTTTGTTTAGCTGCTTCTATTAGTGATAATAGTAAAGTAAATTTTCAACAAAAACGTGAACAACTTCGTTTAGCATTAGAATGGAATCGTGTTGATATAGCTAGAAACTATATTATGAAAGATGTTCGAGATTGGGATGTAGGAATAATAAAAAAAAAAAAAATTTCTTTTCTATTTTTATTATTAATATTAGAATATTGGTTTAAAGAATTTATTTGTATTGGCACTTGAACGTAATCAAATTGAATTTATTAAATTATTTCTTGAACATGATTTTTCATTAACGAATTTGTTTGGAAATAGTTATGAACTTGCTAATCTTTATATGTTTCCTAAGAAAGAAGTAAATTAATTTTTATTTAACTATTAAATTGAATTAGATTTATTTTTATTTTATTTTTACACTTTAGTCTCATGATGTTAGAAAACATGCTCGTAATTCATTATTATCAATATATACAAGAATAATTCAACCATTAATAGGTGATTCTTTTAATGTTGCTGCTGCATTGTCAATGAAAGAATGGACAACAAATTCGGAATCAATTCAGAAAAATGACAATACAACATGTACTTGTTGTCGACCAAAACAACAACAACATACTCCTTCAATTAGTGATCATAATGATAGCGAACAATTCGAAAGTAAATTTTTAACTGATTTGTTATAAAATATATCTTCGAAATAGTACGAAAAATATTTTTGGTTTTACATTCTCAATTGATTGAGATTTCTATCAATACACTTCAATTTAAAAACATCTTTGTAGGCAAATATTTTCATTATTTATGTTGAAACGATATTCCTTTTTTTTTTGTTTTTGTTAAAAATATAAGTCTAATTGTATTTGAATGTTTCTATTTGACTGAAACATAAATGAATTAAAGAATGTATAATAAAAAAAAAACTCTATGTAACTAATTTTATTAAAAATAATATTAAATAACAACTGATTATTCAAATTCGTTTAATTAAATATTTTTGCAGAAGATACTTGATAGAAATTGTTAGAAAATATAATTCGAACAATATATTTTTTCTGAATTTTCAATAATTTATATTTCATAATCTTAACATATTGTTTTTTATATT